AGGCGACCGAACGAATGTCTGAAACGAACGACTACGCTTAGCTTAGCACCAGCACGCCAAACAGCGAAACTGGAGGACAGAGGCTGCGAGCCACGGACCAGCGGTCACTTAAGGAAAGGGCGCAAACAAGACTACAACGGCGACCGCGACGACAACGATTATAGTAGCCACGTCGCAACTCACAACACATAAACACACACACGCACACATACAAAAAGAAAAACAACAGCATGACGATGACCGGTGGTCAGCCGAACGAAATACAACTGACTGACTGATTGACTGCCTGCCTGCCTGACTGACTGACTGAATGACTGACTGACTGACTGACCGACTGACGGAGACGAACTACGTGATGACGAATGCACGGTAGATGCGGAACGGAGGACGACGCTGCTCTTGCACCTGCGCCAAACGGAGCCCACTGATCATGAACAGCCACGAAGAAGCCTGTTGTGGAAGAGTACGGGCGAGGCTAGGCGAGGCGAGGCGAGTCGCTACGTACCCGTCACCCGGTTTGTCTATCGGTTGGTTTCGCAATTCGTAATGGTCGTCGATGGCCGCAGGTCGGTGGTCGCAGCCGCCGTTCCCTCCGTTCGTTCGTTCGTCCATCTGTCCGTTGGTCGGTTCGTTCGTCGTCGTTGTTCATCGGCCGCGCTGAGCACCGGCACACGGCGTGACGCGTAACAAACAATGTTGGCGATGGCAGCGCAGCGAATACGCCGAAGAATCGATGTAGAACGCCAGGCCGGAAGCATCGTGGCGGTCACTCGATGTCCATGGTACTCTCCGACCAGTGTCCCCCTGTCGTCCTTGGTCCGTTCCCGCCGTCGTGTTGGCGCCACGCGCCGATGACCGCCGCGCGACCGCTTACCAGTCAAAGAATGTTGGTGTTATTTTCTTCGGGCGACGGCGCGGCGGAGGCAGCGCCAATCGTGTTTGCACCGCGTCTCAGTCGCGCACAATAGAAAAACTGGATATCGTTGACGAAACGAACGACGTCCACCGGCTGGCAGCCGTCCGTCCGTTCGTTCGCTTCTGCGCATCGACGACGCTCCTTCACTACGCGCACGCGCGAGGCTAAGCGCTAGACTTGACTCGAGAATCGTGTTCGAGGCAGTCGTCATCGAAATGAGGGAAACTGAGTTCCGTTCGCGTACCGACGACGACGAACGAACGAACGACCGACCAATCGACCAGTTACCGACCGACCGATCGACCGGCCGGCCGGCCGGACGGCCTGGTGTATGGCCGCCGCCATCATCGTTCGTTTATTCACTGACGTTCGCCAGCGCAGACCAGCAGCAGCAGCAGCGCGTCGCCGCCGCCGCCGCCGCCGCTGCCGACCGTTCGGTTGGTTGATTGGTTGGTTGGTTGACTAGAACAGCCGACAGCGGCGGCATATGGCACAGTTGTAGTGTGCCGCGCGACAGCCACCACCGCTGTTTCATGCACACAGATGTGACGACCCGATCATCACCAGCATGAAACGATCGTTACCAGCCGCGCCGAGCAGGCAATCGTGTATCTTCAGAGTAGTTGCACGCGCGCACATACATAAACAATTTTTGCGATCGATCGATCGATCGATCGAACGTTACCAGAAAATCAATTTCGAGATTGCCGCGTTGCCTTAAGTTGGAGTTTTTGGCGTCTGACTTCATTCATGACGTTTTTTGTCGATAGCACAGTTCGGCATTGTTATTAAAAGCCTTTATCGCGTGTAAGTTGTAATTAGGCGATGGTGAAGGTGGCGCTTCGCTGGTGCAGTTTGCTTCGTCTCGGTGAACTGGTGCCTGCTGCTGGTCGGTGGATGGTTCGCGCCTGCGTCGTTTGGCCGTTCGCTCACACCGTCTTTTCCGGCTGTAGCGGCAACACGCCGTCGTCGTCATGCACCGCGCGCGCTGGCATCGGCGTCATGGCCGCCGACATTCGCCATGTAAACAATAAGTGATCGGCGCGCGCTGCCGTTGTCCGTCGTACCGACCGACCAGCTTGCCGGCGTCGATACTTGTTCGCCGAGCGGACGTCGCTGAAAACGGGTCAGAACGGGTGGAACACGTTTTTCGGTCATGTGACCGTCCGGTCGACAAGCGCCGCAGAAGGTCACGCAATGGCCAATCACGCGCACGTCTGCGCTTCTGGCGCGCACGCCAGACGGCAAAACCAGGGCGACGCCGCTTGCCTTGCCGGTCGCTCTCGTCGTCGCCCTCGCCCTCGCCCTCGCCTTCGCCTTCGCCTTCGCCTTCGCCTTCGCCGTCGCCGTCGCCGTCGCCCTCCACTGTAGTTACATCGCCTGCCTGTTCACCTGAAATCGGGTCGC